CCTTTCCATCCTTGGCAGGATGCATAGGAATGGAAAACTGTCACGTAATTAATTCCCTTAGGACAATAACAAAAACAATTCATATCCACATCAAAGTTAAAAACCGGATTCTTCAAAGAAGAAATGAACTTCTGCAAGAACAAACAAAACTTGTTTCCTTTGGGAACAGTCACAAACACATGTTTCTTCCTTCTCAACTGCCACTCAATCACATTGCAACATAGCAACCAAATAGAAGCTCTGTTTTGTTTGGGAGAAGGGTTGTTGATCACTACACAGTGTGGCTGCAATCTCTCAAGTTGCTGCCAAATAGCATCTTGACCCTTCAGAGTGGAAAAGTTGTATCCTGCCTTGAAATCCATAGGAGATGCAACTCTAACACCATTCTTTGAAAGGAACCAAGATAATCCACTGTTTCCATGAAGTAACTCAACAACATCAGGATGATCATCATTACAAAAGAAAAAGGACTGTTCTCCGAATTCGGCATCAACATACAGTTCGTGATCTTCACGTAAGTTCTCCGGATTCTCATCGTCTAGTGCCGGAATGGAAACATCATGCCACTCATCGTGATCACGTCTAACCTTTGACTGATTCACACGTACCACTGCCTTACCAGTGTTGGCTTGGACCATAGCTCCTTCTTGTCCAAGTACTGTGGCACGAACCCAACGTCCTTTATGCTTGAACTTTGATGAATCCTGAGTCCAAATAAAAACCTTCTCTCCTTGGAAATAGGGACCGTCACTTGGCATAGTCCTTCTTGCAAGATCTGCTCGAAGGTCCTGAGCTTGTCGTGCTTCTTGATGAGCTCTCAAGGCTACACGTTGTAGTTCCAGATTTGTACGATCTTGTGCGGCTGCACTAGCTGACAATTGCTCAGGGCTTGCGGTCTCAAGGTCAAAAAGATCTGGTGGACGTCTTCCAGTTGCTATCTCTATTGGTGAATATCCACTGATAGTCAACTGACAATTTCTTGCCCACGCTACTTTCTTGACCACTTCTCTGACCGTAACACCACGAAAACGTGGGTCATCCAGATCTACTTTCATAACGTGCCACATACGTTTGAACAAACGTACAGCTGTCTCTGCTCGGTTCGGCCAAGGAGTTCTTGGCCCACAAGGACATTGTTGTATACCATGAAACCTGTAGTATTCAACAAAAGCATCTGTGAAAAAGGCTTCGTCTCCTACGATGGCCTTCGGAACACAGTTGTTCTCATCAGACCACTGCCTCAATGCTTGGATGGTGGTTTGATCTATGTGGTCTTTCTGTGCCGTAGCCCAGAGAAGATTTGTGGCACCATCAAGAACAAGTAGAATGATATACTTGTTCTTGTGAAGTTCAACCTCACAATGATCAGCAAAAACAACATCACCAAAACATGAAGCTCTAATACCGGAGACTCTGGCTCGTGGCGGAGGTGCCACCGAAGTGTTACAAACACGGCAGTTCCTGACAACTGATTCATACTTCTCTAAAACAGAGTCAGGAAGCTTCAACATAGAAACACGTCTACGAAACTGAGTAGGACTCATATGGTAGTGCTTCACATGAAGCTTATAAAGCTCTACCTTGTCCTCCAGTCTCTGCAACATCTTCCTATATGCCGGTGTCATTGCAACAACTTCACTACCAGGTAATGGGATTGAAATCCGCCTAGGCTCAAGAGCGCCATCACCTGGTTCAAGTGGTTCATGTTTATCACTTGATGGTCCTTTTGATGCTTTAGGAATTTCTACAAGTTCACCTTCTGGCCTCTCAGGTGGTTCTGAGGGAGTATACCCTTCAGGATCATCACCCTTTAAATCATGTGGAGGATCAGATGGTTTCGACTTGTGTCCTTTCCAAAATGGATCAAAACCCTTGGATGTATACCGAAACTTTGGCGGCGCAGGCTTTTCCGCGGCACTGGATGGTACACCTTCCTTCTCTGAAGAGAAGCCTGGTTCCCTGTCCTTTGCAATGGGAACCTTCTCTGAGGAGGAGCGCACCACTGCATCGGGATCACCAATGCCACGGTGCTCAATGCCAGCCTTCCTGATCTTTAGATCTGGAATTTTGGCATATGGCTTGAACTTAAAAATTGTTCTACCACGCCATTCATAGCCAATTTGTAGGTCCTTCCATTTTGCCTTGCGCCAATCATCTTGCTTCTTGATCTCTTCTCCTCCTTCTTTCTTCTTGATGATTGTCAGTCGCAAGTCTTCCAGCAAGTCAGTGTCTACAGGACAGGACTTAGTTGCTGGGAAAAGAATCTTCCTGTAATCCTTGTGGTGACGTATCAGTTCTCTTTTGTGAACATCTACTTCCCAGTAATCAACCACAGGATATGCATGCTCAGCTTCATCTTCATCACTATTGTGATCAACAGAAATATGGCCATATTCATAGTGAGTGAAGTGAGAGTAAAAACTCTTCTCACGCCGAGCCTGTAAACGCACGTCAAACAAATACCATGCGATATCTTGGAAGTCCAATACAAGATGAGTACTGGCTGCAACCTTTGATACCAAGAGGCATCGATGTCAGATAAGCATGTTGAGGTGTCAGCCTGAGTTCAAATCCTAAGTTCCTCATCTGTGGCAAGCTCATAAGCAAAGGGACTTCTCCTTCTTCCACTATGTCGAACTCTGTATGGTGGATCGTCCATGCACGATCGTACATGTAAATCACCAGTTTCTGAGAGCAAGAAGCCTTCTGAGAGTTGGCAAAGTAAAACTTGCTCTTGGTAGACTCAAAAGAGTACCATAGTCCACAGTTTGGGTGATTGTCGACATAGTTACAAAAATAATCGACTGCACGCCTTGATCCCATAGCTCTAGTGCATCCAATGTCCAGGATTGCAATAGTTGGCGGGAAGCGATTCTCAGTCAAAAATGAAATAGCCTGCATCTCATTCACCTCTTCCTCAGCGCTCATAAGCGCAAAGCCATCAGGAGCACTTGTGAGCATCTCCTTTGACAAAGAGTACCTCACAGGGGCACTCATGCCATCGAAGATCATCTCACCATTGTTGACCTTACAGTCAGCTTCATCTTGACATGAGGTCATCATGCCTGACAGCAAGTTCACCTCACTGTCACTGACTCCAGCTGCTGTTGTCACACAATGCGCCAAGAAACCTTGGTGGCTTCCTGATGCTTGGGAGGATCTTGAAGGTGCAGGCAAAGAACGTGGCTGTTGTTGATTTGCATAGTTTGCATCTTGCTTGCCATCTCCTTTATCTTTTCCTTTTCCTTTCTTGCCTTTTCTCTTGCCTTTTCCTTTTCCTTTGTGGGAAAACCATGCTTCTTCAAGTTGTTGCCAAAAGTCATTGGCATCTTCATGTTCTCCTTGAAGATAGTCATTCATATCTTCGGCAATAATGGCATCATAGGCTACTTGATTTGACTCCCAAGTGTCCTCATAAGGATTCTCTTCATAATACTCTTCTGGATAAGTTGGCGATTGCTCATCAGCATAATGGCCTTTACCTCGTCTCTTTCCTCCTTTTCCTTTTCCACGAGGTCTGAAAAATCTGCGGCCTGATCTTCCTTTGCCTTTTCCTTTTCTTCTTCCTTTTCCTTTGCCTTTTCTGGCTCTTCTTCCTTGGAATCTCCTCTGGAACCAAGAGAAATTCTGGTCATCATATACCCAAAAGACATCGTCCAGGGCATCAAGAAATCCTTCTGCTCCATCTTCTTCATCTTCGGCCCAATAGCCATAAGTACCATCGAGTTCTCCTTCATCAAGCACGAGAAATGATCTCCTACCTCCAGCACCTGTCGGCTGCATCAGAGGATTGTCTACTGAAGTCTTTGTCGCGCAGAACATCTCAATGAAAACTGTCCTCAACTCTGTTGTGGTATATTGCTGCAGGACCCTACCACGATGAGTCATCAAAGAAGTCAAAGTGTTCCTCTGGTCCTGAGACAAATCTGCAAGTGACAGCATAAGCAAGGCAATGAGATTTTCTCCTAAAATGAAAGGTTCTCAAATTGCCATTGATAGTCTGCATGATTTCCTGAATTCTTTCTGCTGTTGGAGCTACTCCATGTATCACTGCATCAGCTTGCGTCTGAGCTTGTACCTGAGGATGTGCTTGTGTAACTGGCTCTAACATGTCCATCCAACTGCTCATAAGCCTTTGGAGTAAAATCTGAAATCTTGTCATCCATTTCATCATGTCAGCTGATCCTCGATTGAATCGCACGAATTGCATAAACCTATATAGGAATACATTGGTTGATCCTTTCACAAAATATGGTCGTAGTACTCGCTTGAAATAATCTACTGCAGCTCCTGGTGGATCATTCGCCTTCAATGCATCTCTGTCTAGAACTCGTTTGTATACAGCTGCTTCTCCTTCTAATCTGTTTCTCAATGCTGGTCCTCTCTTCTCATCCTCCAGCTCGGTGATATCACACCAATCGTCTATGGCATCCTCATAGGAAAACCACGAAGTCTTTCCATCATAAGATGGGGGCACCTTTGTAGTGACCTGTGTTGTCATTGCTATAGCTGCTGGTTCTCTTCTCACATGCCTATTCACATAGGCTGCTGGCTCATAAGCCACATCCGCATCAGGCTCTTCCCAGTCGTCAATCCAATCCATGGCCTTTTGCCTACAAGCAAGTCTATGCCTAGGAAAGGAGCTCACCTGGGTCTTCCAGGATCACTGCTCCGCTACCACTGAAAGAGTGACTAGGGCGTACACGGTTGAGGTGCAGACCGCTAGTGTCTTTTATGCGCAGAGTCTTATCCTCTTGTCTCTTGAGCCTTATGGCAGTCAAGCATGGACACACTAGATAGGCCACTGGAGTGGAACCTGTACAAGTAGGCTCTACACTTCAGGGGGGGGGGGGCGTCAGGCTGTCGATAAATCCGCGCGGAGAGACAAACCGTAGATTGAAACCAACACAAGCAATACTAACCAAAACAATCCACAAAACACGCCGGCAGGCCGGCGGACCTGTTTGATTGTTGTTTTTCAGTTGGCCCCACTTCAGCAGGCTGAAGAAATACAGCAAGGCTACGTTTTACCGCCTTGGTGAATGCCTGAGCGGATGTGATGGAGAGGTTGACCCTTTGCGATGAAGAATGAACGCTCACGAAAGCACGTTATAGTTTTGTTTGAAGTTCTCAAGTTAAATCTAGAATCTAGCAGAGACAGTCTAGCAGCTAGCAACAAAGATTATAGTTAAATCCAAAGGCTTCCTTTGCAGGTCCTTAGGTATGTTTGAGCAGCTTTGAGCGAATGTTTGTATCCTGCTACTATGTAGCCGTTTCAACTGCTGTACAGAGTCTAGAGTAAAATGCTGGCTTCAGTGGCACCCACACTAGTGGCAGTGTTCTTGTGGCCGTTTGCCAGTAGCCTTTGTCACTATGCAACATTGCTCATGCCCGTGGGGGTGTTGTTGAACCTATCTGTTTGGTGCACGAGCACCAACTTTCAAAGGCAACCTTATGGTTTGCCAGCACTGGAAGCATGGGCATTCTGAGCCCATGTCCAGCAGGTCTTGCCATAAGTGACAAGTGTTTTCAAGGCCTTTTGACCGCAAGCTGGACATTTTAGTCAACGCGCGTCGCCGAAAAGTCGAGAGTCGCTGGAGGTCGAAAAGATTTGGGTTCTTGTCCTGGAAGTGGCTCTGTGACAAAGCAAAGGTGACAGGACCTGGGTAGTCTCCAAACGCCGGAAAATGGTGTTTGGGAACCAAAATCGGTTGGCTAAAAGATGGTCCCAAGAAACCTCGTGATTCTTTTCCTTGCCACTAACAAGAGACAGGCGGCATGTCGATCCAGGAATTCAACCGAAGCCTCCCAGCTCATGCTTGGAAAAGCTTGGAATGAACAGCTCTAACAGAAATAATGCAGGAGAGGTTTGATTGAAAGGTCCACATGCTGAACGAATATCTCATGTTGAAATATATCAGTGTGAGGTACATCAACAATACGCACACATATTGCAATCGAGCTTGTACCATAATATTCATCGAGCTTGAAATGATACGTTATCACAATAAAAGAGACACCGTAATAGAGGGATGCCAGCAAACGCGCTTGATACGCTTTGTCTTCCACGCATCTTGCCATGGATGACAAGACGTTGGGCACTGCCACAGGAGGCAGAGGCGAGGCGGGCAGAGCGGCCCCTTAGGCACCTGCAGTAGGGGGAATACACAGGAGGAAGCAGACAGGGTGAATAGTACTTTGTGCATCCATTTACGCCATTGCGTTCCTCAGCTTCTAAAGAGTTCCAGCCGCTTCTGTAGTTCTCCAGGTTTTGTTGTTTACCTCGTTTTGACTTGCGATTGAAACCAATCCTCATCGAAAACGCAGATATGGCAGTGGGTCAAAATCCAAAGCCCCAAACCAGAGTAGGTTGACCTCCCAGGTAGTCTGTTCTGTTCATTCTTGGTAGTCAACCAGGGTGTCCCGGGTTTGACCCACAGCCATATAGTGATCTCTGATCTCACCTATTGTTTGCAGTTTTGTTTTCCTTTTTGATCTCTGTCATTCTTGGTCCCTTTACATGACTGACAGCCCACCCTCGGATAGCTTATAAATGTACCTCAAAAGCGTGAGAGACTGGAATTTTGATTATGGAGTGATTTGAGTGGCGGACCAAGACGTGCTAGTAATGACCTTAGCTTCTGGAAAGCCTTTGGCCGTTCCAACATGATCGATCTGCTTGCAGCTTCTACCCTGCGCCTTTCCAGGATTTCTTCTGCATTTTGCACGGCGAACTTCTGGTGGCAGCTCTACCGGGCTGCGTCAAGGTCTTTCGTGGAACACCTGGTGCTTGGAGCGATGGATGGGAGCTCCGTAGGAGCGAATTCTGCGGAGTGTCTTTGAGCCAATTCCCAATTGAAGAGGTTCTGCTTCGTTTGCCAAAGGTGGAAATCATATAATTAAGTACCTAAGTCTTACGTACCTATGGCATCCGTCAGCATATTGCCAAGTGCAGTTTTGCAATGTGTTTTCTTGTCAAGAGATTTTCAGATTCAGAGAGGATTCCCGAAAGCATTGTGTATGATGTCTCGATTGATGTCTCCGGAACCTTTGTGGCAAGTGCCTGGCAGGCTCGATCATTTCTGGTTGAGACTTGTGAGTCTGTGTGGAAACAAGACACAATAAAGCGCTATGAAGGCCATGAATCCATCGATGAATGGGCCTGTGAATTTCAGTTTTTTGTTCATTTCGATATTCAATTGCTTGCAGATGTAGCAATGTAGTATGATCTGCTTGTATCGTGATCTTGCCCCAGACGGACTCATCACACACCGCCAAACGATGCAGTAGGATGGCACCATCGCTGTCGATGCAGTGGAGACGATTCCAGGGGCCCAAGTCCGTTCTTGGAAAAGCTCCATGCCAAAGCCGGTCCCAAAGCTCAGAAGTTGATGTTGTCAAGTCTTGCTTGTTCTTTGGGATTTTGATCCCTTCTTTTTGGATGTTGATTCTTCTGATCTTTTCTGCTGTTTGATGGCTTTGAGTTTTGGCAAAGCTTTGGCAGTTTTCAGAGCCATCCGTCCCTGCACCGGTGCAGTGTGCAGAGGTGTTGAGCATTGCCATCTACCCAGGCTACGCAGAGGCTGACCCGGAAAGTTGCGGCACGTGACATGCACATGTCATTGACGGATGCTGGGACATGGTAATCTCCTGCACAAGTGATCCAGCATGTTGGAGGCTCCAGGCCGGCGAGTGGTTTGCTGCGGTGGACAGGAGCCTGTGCATCCAGGGTCTTGCTGTGGGTCACACCCCCTGCACCCAAGGAACACATCCCAACAGTCGCAAGGTAAGGGAGGTTCGCTGCCATATCTATGCCTAGACGGGTCATGAAGTATGCATTACAACTCTGTGGAGTTTGTTATTGTGAGGCTTCAACTAACCCAAGAAGCCCAAACCAATTGAAGCGCACGTTTGTTTACTTCGTGAAGGACGGGCGCCTTGTGCTGAGCCGCCGTGGTGCACTTGTGACTTTGGCTACACGCGTTATGGTCAGTATTCTTTGGAATTTCTGGAAACTGCGTGTGATGACTGGTATTTCATTGGGCACCCGATTAGGCATTTGGAGTGAAGGGACTTTCAGTGAACCAGTTGGTGCTCCTGGCATTCTACATCGCAGCATTTGCCAAAAGTAGGTGTTCAAGACTTCAATTTCACCGGCTTGGCTTGAAAAGTGAAGCACTTTCTTGTGCTTTCTACCCACATATGTGTATAATAATACAATATAATACATTACATTGGTTCTCTATGTTTACAACTTATAGATATGCGTACTGAACTGACAGCGGTGCAACACGCCAGCCTAAGTGAAAAACCTAAGAAACCAAGGTGAGTAAAGGGAAAGCTCCACCAATCTCCAAAGCTGAAAGTTCTGAAGTCACGGTCTCCAAAGCTCAACGACGGTGAGGTCAGCACTAGACAATTGCTGCAAAACACAGAATTGGAACAGCTTGTCCATTACGTAGGTTTCCTTCCAAGCAGGTACGTCAATCCGGCGTCACGGATTGATTTCACAGATGCAACACTGGCGTCTTCGTTGGTGCCAGTCCAGTGTGCATCCCTGGCACCCCCTGCTAAAACAATTCAAAAGAATCCCTGTGACTACAAGGGGCACACACACACACACTTAGGATATTGTGTACTGAACTGAATGCGGTGCCACACGCCGGCCTAAGAGACCCAAATCCTGAAAGGTCCAGGAAAGTCCTAAAGAACCTGGAGGTCTGTAAGAAGAAGTGAGGCCAAAAGCTCAAGGTCGAAGACGGCGAGCGAGTCGAACAAGGTGACGGCGACTTGCGCACATCTGCAGAAAGTGAACCAAATCCCTAAGCAACACTGTGTCGTGAGGTTCTCGGCTTAGCCTCTTGCCATTCGGAAAAAATGCAGGTACGTTCCCGAGGCGTCCCTCAGGAATATCACAACACGATGGAAGGGTCTTCGTTGGGCAATGCCTTCCAAAGTGTTCATTGCCCCCCTGCTGTGGTAAAACTAGAAAGTGAGAAAGCAAGCTGAGCAAATCCAAAAGGATCCCTATGATTCCAAGGGTTACACACACACACACACGCATGTATATATATATATAACTATATATAGATACACATACACCTTTTCCTTCTACCACATCCTTTTTGGCTTTCTCGAACTTGTCAAGGAAGCAAAGCATGCGACGCTTCACTTGGGCGAAGGACCTATAAGCTGCGTTCGTTGGCGGGGACCCTTGGTGGCATGGGCCACAGCCAAGAGCGTGAAGCTGGTGGATGTGGACACTCATCAGAAGGCACTGACAGAATGGTTCAGCTGCTGTACAAATTGCACATAACTCGAGAGCCCTAGTGCCAACTTTAAGCCTTGTATGTATGCCTTGCATGTCAGGTAGGATTCATTCCGTGCTCATCAGCCCAGACTGGCGGGGGCCACCTCTGTTGGCTCAGTGACACAGCCCTTCTTATTGGCTGGGATCAGGACAGGAGGGACAGATCCATCAGATGTTGTCACGCTGACATGGACGAAGAGCGACGCTGTAAAGCTGCGAGAAGACAGATAGCATCCACATCATTGCCATCCTCCAGTACAGACCATCCTCAAGTAGACAGAATATGACAGAATCTGGAAAAGTCAAGCGCAACAGGGACGTTGCCATACCAGTTAGGTGCCATAGTTGTTGTATGCTGCCCTCCGTATTCAGCCATACCTGCATGTGCTTGGAGTAGATGTTGGTCCTTTGTTTGTTTCCAGGAGGTGCTCTTAGTGGAGCTGCGACAAATGGGTGATGGTGTGGCAGTGCACTTTGCGGAGGTTCTGCGGAAGATGCCTGTTCCTGGCGAGCTAGTGAGGCAACTGGCACAGCTGGCGACTCGGCTGGAAAGGGCAGGTGACATATCAACAGGAAAGATGATGAAGGGATCCCTCAAGCTTCAGGAGAGAAAAACATACTAGACTAACTAGAGGCGGTTTTCCCTCCCTTTTCTTCTTTTTTGGCTTTAAGAAGAGAGTGTATTGCTTGCAGGGTCTGTATTGGCCTCCTCTGGAGGAGGCGTAGAGTAGGGTCCAGATGCGAGTCTCTTTTGCAAGAAATGTTTCATGGTCATGTGAGTGATGAGTCGTGCATTTTTCTCAGGACAGTGCCTTGACACCTTGCCCCACAGCCTTGATGGCTGCTCTGGCACGATGGCCTAGACGTGCCAAGCCAACTGCTGCGCTCATGGCCAATTTGCAGCGGGCGCGCTCAAGTTGCTGTTCTGGGAGCTGCCCATTCCGACATTTCCGATCTGCCCATTGAATGCTCTTGAATTCGACATGTTTGCAGCCACAAAAGCACGTGCATCGACAGGCGCTTCGCCCTGGGGAGAAAAGCCTTGAAGGCAGGATATTTGGCTTTGGTGAACCGTTCCCAATTTATCATCGAACACGAAACCTGGAGTGAAGTTTCTGCTACGCACCGCTCTACAACTTATGCTTGCTATTGTGACCGCCTGAGCTTGCTGTGATGTGCAGGATGTCTTAGCTGGGAGCCACAGGGTGATGAGCCAGAGGATGTCCTCAATAGTGACCTTGTCCTTTATTCACAAGACAGGGCGGTGTCATGATTCATCAATGCTGATGGATTTCATTGCAGGAACAGGCTGCAGAAGTCCTCGCTTCTTTGCACGAGACACGAGGCACCGGCGCTGGGTCAAAGGACAATACGGACCGTGATTTGTTCATTGAGCCAGCTTGAATCCTCTTCTTGGTGAGGTGATGTGGAAACTGCGGCACGGCTCCTGGCACGAGCCAAGAGCCCTCGAGTCTTTCCCTTGCTGAAGAAGCACCTGCCTGCAGGTGCACAGACGCGTGACCTTTTGGTAGGTTCCTGCAACGCATCCTCAGGCCACTTTTCTGGAGCCGCTGCAGCGCTCCCACAGCTGGTTGCCTTGGATACAGCTGAGGCGATTCGCCTAGCAGCATCTTGGCGATCATTGGCCCCCGACACTTTGGGAAAGATGTGAAAGCATGTAAGCTACTAGGAGCAAGGACGCTACTAGGGGCAAGGACGCTACTAGGAGCAAGGATGCTACTAGGGGCTCCTGGCATCGCTACTAG